CTGTGGCATCACAGCTCACAGCAACCTCCAACTCCTGGGCTTAGACAATTCTCTTGCCTCAGGCTCTCGAATAGCTAGGACTACCAACACAACACCTGGCTATTTTTTGTTGTAGTTTGTCCGGGGCCAGGTTCAAACCCACCACCCACGGTATATGGGGCCAGCACAGAGTTCTACTAAGTTCTTAATTGCCTGTCTCAAAGTTTTGCAGGCAAGCATTCAAAAGCCATATATGCCCTTCTTCTTAATTATGCAAAATTATTTTTAAGTATGTTTTTATAGCAACAGTACCAAAAGGATAATAAAAGCCATAAAACTATACTATTATGTTACACAGTTAAAAATCAGTAAAACAAAACTGTGCTAAAGTTAAATGTGATCTAAACCTGTCTCTTTAAGCACCAAACTACCATCTAACTTAGTATATAAACTGCAATCTAATTTAAGACTACATGCTCCTAAGAAGCAGCTGAGTTTCAGCCAATCAATCACAGGCTGCCAACTAATCAAACCATGTACATGTAAGGCAAATGCCAAGCTGTAGTCAATCAAATCATTTTTGTGTGTCACTTCCTTTTGTTCTCTACAAATACCATCTACCCACATTGCTGGATACAGCTCTCTGAACCTCTCCTGGTCCTGAGCACTACTCTATTCATGAATAGTTATTTTGTCTAAAGTTTTTCTTTTATTTATTTATGAAACAGAGTCTCACTTTGTTACCCTCAGTAGAGTGCCGTGGCATCATAGCTCACAGCAACCTCAACTCTTGGGCTCAAGTGATCTTCTTACTTTAGCTTCCCCGGTAGCTGGGACTACAGGAACCTGCCACAATGCCCAGTTTATTTTTTTTTTTTTTTTAGAGACGGGGCCTCGCTCTTGCTCTGGCTGGTCTCAGACTCCTGAGCTCAAGCAATCCACCTGCCTCAGCTTCCCAGTGTACTAGAATTATCTGCATGAGCCACCTGACCCAGCCAATTTTGTTAGTTTTAACCTGACTTTTTACACACATATACACTCTATGCTGCTGAGTTTGCCAGGGAAGTGTTCTCTCTGGAATTTAGTTATCAGTGACCTTTAAGGGTTCTACTTTCAATACTGTCCAGTGCAGAGTGGCCATGGACAGTATTATTCCTGGGTGGGGTTATTCCTGGACAGATGAATCCCCCTGGCCGGATGCTCCTGGCGGGCAGCCAGCCTCAAATGGGAAATAAAACACTTTAGAAAATGCAGCCGGAATTTATTGACTATAACTTTAGGGTTCTAGAGAACAAATGTGCTTCACAAAGGGTCCAATTTCCTGCCAGGGAATCATTTGCTTGCTGAGTGATCATTAGAGCTGAATCCAAGAATCATTAAAAACAAAAGCAGCTCTCCAGTGCCCACGTGGTGCTTTACTGCTCTCCACACAGGGTGACCCACACTTAGCTGCTCACCAGAATCTCTCAGGATGCAGCCCGGGAAACCCCGCCTTAAAACTGTATGTTACATTTGTAATACTCAAGTCATATTTAACTTCTGCAATTATAAGAGGTGCTCAACGTGACTTGAAGACGTCTTTGCTATTGGTATACACTGAATACTATCTAATATAGTCTTTTCCTTTCTTAAAATGTGTGTACGTTTTTTGGCACTCTCTGGGGGTGAGGTACTGAGCCACTGTGTGGAAGCAACAGGAGTTTGCTGAATCAAAGGGATCCCTCCTGGGATCCCACCCACGGCTTTTCTGTCCCAGAGCAAGTTACAAAACTACCATGGGCTCCACCTGTCCCTCTAGCATCAGGCCAGATATGGTGAAGTCATGATTCATCATCACCTGCCCCACAGCCAGGATCAGAAGGGCGAGAACATTCAATCGCCACCACTTTCCTTGGGTTCAGCAACAAGGGACCTCAAAGTCAGACGTTTTAACTCCAATCTTACGAGATGCCCAGGGTGTGGCATTTAGAAATACCAAGTCCTAAAAGACACAGCATGCGGCTATGGCCTGAGGATATGGTACGTCTTGGGTCTGCCCTGGGTTAGCTGATTCTCTTCCTCCACAGTGACAAAGAGTTGCAAGCTGGAAGCCAACAATTTTTGCCTGTGGACCTTTGAACTTTTTTCTCTTACTTTGACCCCTTCTTTATTCTGAAAAGAATATTCCTTACGTCATCTGGTACCAAAAAAAAAGAGGTGTTACAACTTCACCTGGTAGCCTGTCCAGCTCCAGCAAGCTCAGAGGTCCTTTAATCGTCCCTTCCAGTGATGTTAAAATGAAACCTTGGGCTCTTTGACCATGTATAAAGTGGTATTGCCAACAGTGCCCCTCAGCTGGAGCCAGGCCAGAGTACTGGTAGGCATTTTAAAGTAACTCCAAATGGCCATCCTCATCCTGCTTCCTGGATGGGTGGGAGGGAGTGTTTTCACTTTGAACATTCTGGGTCAAATTTCCAGATGAAGGTGTTCCACTGAGTTGGGTGTTTCACTTGCTTTCCTGATTCTGGACGTGACTTCCCTTTGACAATGAGTTTTCCACATGGTAACAACCGATTTCCTCTGTTCTCTCAGCAGTAGTTATTGAAAATGCAATCCAAAATAGATTGCACCCATGAAGAAGCACAGGTGAGTTCTCCTTAAAGTGATAAATTGCCACCATAAAAGAACAAAGCCCCATCATAGGTCATGCAAGGTCAAGAGACTAAACTTTCATTGGAATACAATGGGAAGCAGGGTAAAGGACAGAGACATTTCTAAAAATGCTAACAGTAAGCAAAGGCTCATCCTTGCCAGGATCTTCAAGCACTTGGGGAAT